GCATCCAGAATTTACTCGAAACGAAGTCATTTAGAATGTTTTTAGAGCATAAACAGTAGTGTATAGGATTTCCTAAAAGCGCGTTCACGACGCTACGGAAACCGCGGCAGACCAACCCAGACGAAAGTGCGCATTCAGCTCGGCAAAGAACTTCTGCTCTTCCTCAACACTAAAGTCCTCAGACATTTTTCTTTCGTTGTTTCTTTCTTTGCACAGGTAAACAGCACATTTCTTCGCTTGCATTATCGGCAGAGCAGACGCTGAATGTGCACTTTCATCTGGTTTGGTCTGCCGGCTTCCGTAGCGTCCTGAACGCGCATGTGCGCGCTTTCAGGAACACACAGTAATTTTATTGTTATTGATTTGGATTATATGTTGTATTACATGATTTAGTGACATCATTGACTTCATAATGACTATGCAATGTGATGTGCCTATTTTTTTTTTTATTATAAGTCAAAATAATCTACTTACAGTATGCAATGAAACAGCCAGTGTGTGTCAAAGTGATGAATTTATCTTTATTTTAAAAGTCTTAAGTTCCCCTGAAAATGAGAACACCATCAATGTTCGATGCTGTAGCGCACATATTGTTTACATTGCGACCGGTCTAACTAGGGAGTACCAATATGGCGGCCGGTGGCTTCACTTCAACTCCGTTCTACCAACGGGCAATCAGCAATCCAGTGAACGAATAGAGATCAGTGGTCAGAATCAATGGGAAGATGGATAAACTTAAAATCTGAATTATTCTGTATTTTAAAAAAATATATTAGAAGCTTTAAAAGAGTCTAAACTGGAATTAAGGTTCTATTTCCAGCAGCTCAACAGTCCTAATCATACAACCAAATCTAAAATGCTTTAGTTAAAAGCATTATAATGGGCCAATGGTCTAGTCAAAGTTTAGAACTTAATCCAATTGAAATCCAAACATCTACACACATATGCCAATACAAGCCCAAACATAATCTTTAAGAATGCTTTAGAATAAGGTCATAGGTGTTTAGACATTGCCTTATTGTTTAGTTTTTCTCACTTTGTCTCAGACAGTTGTCCTCCCGTCACCATCTGTTTGAAGGTGGCCACCTGCTCTGACTTCTCTCTGTCCTACTTTACCGCTGTGACCCATCTCCACCCATCCTGTCGGTCCTTCTTACCTCCAATCAGTTCTTTTTGTCAAGATCTTAGTCAGCACATCTGCTGTTTTTTTTGTTTTTTTTGCTGTTCTTTTGAAGCTCTCTTCTTTTTCCCGTCCCCATTTCTACTTTTCTGTCCTTGTCTGCTTTTTCTTTGACACTTCATAACACGCTGGTATACCTTTTTATGAGATGAAAGCCTGGAGGACACAACTTAGCATTCAAAGTTCAAACCCAAATACAGGAATTTGGCTGTATTTGCTGTATTTTGTGACGAGTTTAACTAGATCTTAAATTTAAATGTCATTTAAGAAATGTAAATGATCACTTTTAACCCCATGGAAGGTGTTCAGCACAAAACGATTCAAAACAGAAATGTAAATAAATTCAAAACACTTCTCTTTGTCTGACTTATGTAAACATATTAATATTTGCTTGTATAACAAAAGAATTGTAGATTCATAATTTAAGGGTCAGCTTATTACTGCTTAAACGTTTTAAAGATGATTTAGAATTTAAAGATTTCAGAGTGTGTACAAAAATGTGAATGTGTTACAGTTCACTAACCAGCACTCCATTCAGCACAATAGGTTGTAAGAAGGATTTAAAGCATCCAGCCTTTATGAGTCAGAGGAAATAACTCTCAGAAAATGGTTTGTGTTGGAGTGAGGCCAGGACATGATGGGGTGTGGTGTGAGGTGTGCGGTGTGCGGTGAAGCTGTTAAAGTCGTTGTTCATCTTTGGGTGGCAGATGTTCTCTAAATCCCTGAGCAGCTGGGTACCTAAGTGTTCAGATTTGCTTGCACAAGATCCTTTTTAGTCACCTTGAAGGTTCGAACACATAACTCACAAGATTAAGAAACTTATACGCTCAATCAGCCACCTGTCTTAACTTTCATGAACCTGGTGGTGTATTTTACTCCTGTTTGTATCTAATAAAGAAATACAAATTCTTTAAAACGTGGTAATGTTTTTACGCTCGCTTTACATTTCTCGTAACACTTGGGGCTAAAACAATAATGTAATAAACAGGTTAGTGATTATCAAGGTTTTTACCCGCGCTCTGCCCCTCCCCACATGTATCTGTGCATCAGAGTGTTTATCCCACCATGAGAGTTTCATTATGGCGTTAGCTGAATTATTTACCCCCTAATATATATAACTGATGGCTGTCAGTATCTGCTGAAGCACAGAACCAGCAGATCCACATGCCTCAAACCACTGAGCGTAATAAAACATAAACACCTTTGGAGGTAAGTCCAGACTTTTCGATAAATACTCTTTATGTTGTTTAGGTAGCCATAGACAATAAACATACCTAAATAAATTTGTACATGCTGGATCTTAGGTATAGTGAAAAAGATTACATTTTATCAGAATATGAAGCACGTATTGACCTGTGGACCTCTCATTGTGTTCATATCTATACAGATGGTTAAAAAGATCAGGATAACCACATGTCAGGGTGTATTACCCAATAGGGGACTTCCATTTCCTTTTAGGACCGCAGATTTTCTGTTTATTCTGTAGAAATATTGCCTCTTTTATGTTTTTAGAATAGGAAGCTGAAACAAAATCAAAGTCCTATTTAACCTTAGAGTGTTTCAGTTCCACAAGACAAGATATTTTATTTAAATTGTTGCTTTTACACACAACACTTTTCAGAAAAGAATGTTAACATTCACTTTTTAGGTTCCAGGTCTAAAAGCAGAATGAAGCACCTGAGAAAATTAACAAAACAAGCATTAAGGAAAAATTATATTGATTTTGTTATGGCACTTGGGAAAAGTGAAAAGGTGAAATCGCTGACATGGTTTAAAATCGCACAGGGGCAGCCTATGTTAGCAGAACCATGGGGATTTACTTTTATTTAGTTTAATTGACAATGTTCAGAAAGCAGCTCCAACAATGCAAAGGAAAAGAACAGACAGTGGCTGATCGTATTATTTTTGGGACACAGTCATTAACGTGATGCATTAAATAAATAAAAAAGTAAGAAAAACGAAGAATTGCCTACCCAGAAGTGTGTATATATATATATATATATATATATGGTTTGGCCTTCTTCACACTTCCGTAGATATTTACCAAAACTGAATGATTTACACCTCTTGTTCTGACATAAACATAGTTTCCAGTGAAAGAAACGGGAAAATTTAAAAGCTTTTTAGAGGTGGAAACTCTTAGAAGCTGCCCTTTTATTTCCCACTTTCACCCAGGTCTTTCTTTAAAAAGTTAACACATAAACTGTAAAGACATTTAGTGAGAGAAATTGCTCAAAGTGTTTAATATTAGTAACTAAAGATGATCAAATATAATCCAGCCGGCTTAAACTGTGCAGCAGCCCTTCAGCTTAGTGTGGGCAGCAGCTTTAGCATTTTTAGCAGCCTGTATCTACCAGGTTGCAGTTTCTCACAGTGTTTATAAATCCTTTCTGTTTTGTAGTTTTATGATGATTTTCTCTCTTTCTAATTGGAAATAAACACAGTTTGACTCCTGGTTTGGTCACAGCTGGGCAAAAGAGCATTCATTGGTATTTTACTATCAGGATGAATGTAGTGTTTAAACATTATTTAAACAGTTCAGTAGCTATTCAGTAAGTATGTTGAAGCATGTTTTAAGCCTTAAAACATATAATATATAACCGATGTAATTTAATAAATCTTTGATTTAAGTGAAGTTTTTTTGAATAAATCGTTTTGATCATATAACAAAGTTAACATCTCATTTGGATGATTTTGACAGCATGTTTATATGTTTATATTGTGTTGGGCCTGGATAAGCATTAGCCATGTGCTCACCTGTTAAAGCATCACTCTGCCCAGAGGCAGGATTTCCCAGTGAAAACTCACTTATTTATGCTCTCTGGAGAGCTCCACAGGCTGCTCCCCAGATGTGTTTTGGCTCCAGATGTTCCAAATTGGCATCATTGTTTTATGACCTAATCGACCTCCACTTTCTGTTTTGAAGACTGCCTTTGTAACTACAACATGCTCCTCTTTTTATCCCTTTAGTTTTAGAGAAGAGCGAGTTTAAAGACGACTCCCAGTTCTTCCGCTTCTACGCCGACGAAGAAACTGAGGGAACTGGCACCAAGAGCAAGCAGCTCCAGCGAAACGACTTCAAGCTCATAGAAAACGTCCTAGCCAAGTCCCTTGTGGTGAGCTGGAAATCATGTTTCTATTTTACACGCGGTCATTGAAATACTCACACTTGGCTGATAGTAGTAGCTTCACAGACTGATTTCTGCATCATCTGGAGGATATTTATGTACAGTATGTACTCTAATGTTTATTCTCAGCAACAATAAACCTGCTGCAGATTTACTACATCAGACAGCTTTATCTTCGCCCGCAGAGACACACATAAAACATTGTTGAAACAATGAGGTTTAAAGGATTGAGGTTAAAAACAACCCGAGTCTCTTTCTCCAAATAAATCCATATTTAGCTTCACTCTTTAGACCAAAATGTGTTTCTGTGTGTGCTCAGTCATCACTGTACTCTGATTTAATTCACTTCCATTGTGTTTGAATTTGCTCAGATCAGGGTGTTTCTTTTTCAGGGCTGCAAATAAAAACTTTTTTTGCTAATCAATTAATCTGTCAATTATTTTCCCAGTTAATCATTTGATAAATAGATAGAAATTGAGCTTAAGATACTTTTTTTTAGAGGATGTGAACTAAATAAAGCTAAAGCTTTGCCAGTTGAGCAAAGTTACAGACCAAGAAGGTTTTAATCCTAAATGCTAAGCAAATGGCATATTTTATCTGTACACTTCAGTTATTGTTTATTAATAAATTAGTTTATTTTTTATTAAAGTTATCACCTGGATTAGTCTGAATGAAACATAATAGGGTTGGTGGATACAGATTCAAATTCCCAGTTAAACAACACAGATGTTAACATTCTCATCAGCTCTTTATTTTATGTACAGATAACATGGGACCGTATATACCTTCAATGTGTTAAAACTGAAAACAGGCGATTTATTGATTTGTGTAGCGATTGGAGCATTTCTATAAGTGAGAAAAAGCATCTTTTACGATCTTGCTATTGCTGCATTAACTTTTTTTTTTTTTTAACCCTACAGCCAAAAAACTTTGATTTATTTGGATTTTAAGATACAGACACAAGATTAAATTCAATTCAGTTTATTTATAAAGCGCCAGTTCACCATACATGTCATCTCAAGGCACTTTACAATTCAATACAGTCAAATTGATTCAAGGTTTTCTATCTAAGCAAAACCAGTTGATTGCATCGACTTATTGACTCGAAGGCAATCCCTCAAGATTAATCGTAGTTGTTGATTAAAGGGAAAAGAGGCCTTGCTAAATATATGTTTTACTGTAAAAGAAATATGTAACATATATACAAGGATCTGATTAATCGTAGTTGTTGATTAAAGGGAAAAGAGGCCTTGCTAAATATATGTTTTACTGTAAAAGAAATATGTAACATATATACAAGGATCTATGGTTATATGGGATGAAGACAAATGCATACTGATCTCATATTACAGTAGGATAAATTATTATAAATTATTGACTGCTATTATAAAGCATGATGCTGCAAAACGTGTGAATCTGTAAATTAAATTGTTTGTAATCGCGCTCCAACATCTACAGACTCCCTAGTAAACAACTCGCCATATCTAACACTGTCAGCACTTTTATAAGATACTCTGAAAACATTTGTTTTCACCCTCCATAACTAAATAAAACTATGCCTTTTCCTTTAAAAGTGATGTATTAAAAACAAATCAGGGTCTAGCTCTGTGTTTTTACTGTCAGTTAGAGTAAAAAGCATCATAAAGATGAAGGAACACGGGTTATTCAGGGAAAAAACAAAAATGGTTTTTTAGACGTACTTCAACAGATTTGCTGCTGCTGTTGCATCAGGCAGATGTTTCTATTAAGTATTTTCCAAGCACGGTTAATACAAATTTTTTTTACAGATTGATTTTGTCCCTATATCTACTACGTTGAGTTGATTTGCTGCATCAAGTCTAGAAAGAAAAAGCATTAAAATGAAAATTGATTTAAATTTGTGGTTGTATTAAGAAGAATGAGCAAACATTCTATGGGTATAAATCTTTCTTGCTAATGGTATATATGTACATGAATAGGTAAATATCTATTTTAACATCTGTTTATAGCGGGAAACGGCTTTCTGGACTAAAACTATATATTATTCAACTTAGAATCATTATTGTCTAAGTTACAAACGATGTTAGGATTGTGTTAATCTACATAGATTATGCACATTGCGCCTCGTTGATCTATTACATATGAGGTAGGGTCGGTATTAATTTGCCAAATGAAATTAGGTCACTGGAGTGGCTCCAGCAGACGGCTTTTATTCACCAAGGAGCGACAGAAAGGGGATTGTTTATCTAACGGAAGCCAACAGGAATCGCCAGCATCCCTTTTTCTCATCTGAGTGGGAAGTAGGCGTGCTCTCTGGCCTTCCACAAGAAATGGAAATGGCTTTTACTTGATTAGCGGTCCTAATCCCTCACTACTCTCGCCCCATTTTTGAAGCGGAGTGCAGGAACTCCTTATTTACCGCAGTCATCTCCTCTGATATAACAAAAGAGATCAGCATCTTATCAGAGCTGTGCAGCAGGAAGATGGCCCCAGCAGCAGCTTAACTAATGGTGGCTACTAATGGCTTTTAACGCTGCTGAGCCTCTATTCACAAGGGGGGCAGTGATATGACAAAGGGACACGAAGCACCTGATGCAAGATTAATTCTATAAAGCTCATGTAGATGTATACATGTGACATTTTTTGGGGGGAAAAGGGAAACTTTAGAAGTGTGTAAAAATGATCCTCCAAGCGATCAACTCATGTGAATGTGTTATTTTTATTTTTTTTTCCCTGTGCTAGATTCACCCCGAGGAGGAAGACTACGGCTTCGAAATCGAGGAAAAAAACAAAGCAATTGTGGTGAAATCTGTCACCAGGGGCTCACATGCGGAGGTAATGGTCAGCACACAGACAAACACACAGAAGGCGCATGTTCTTCCCGCCACCGGGCATTAGTTCCAGTCAGTAATGGCTGTCCACTGTTTGGACGGCTGCTGTCGGTCTCCCTCTGTTCTTTTCTACTGGCCAGGCTTTTTTCACACTGACTGAATAATTAGGCAGACATTATTTCAATCATTTAGAGTAATTTGAATTAAAAGAACAGACTTTTTTTTTTGAATTACCACTTTTTTTAAGATTAATTTGAATTTGAAGCAAACTTTGTATGCTTCTTATTATGAAGCCTTTTTCCTGCTATTGTTGCTGTATCCATTTAATGTCAGTCCTTTGGAAAAGAATAAGCTTTAAGTCAAATTACTAATACAAATATTGGTAGCTGTTAAGTGGAAGGGAAAATATGCCCCATCCATCATCCATCCATTTTCGGACACACTTAATACCAAGTGGGGTCGCGAGGGGTGCTGGTTGCCTAACTCCAGCTGTCTACGGGCGAGAGGCGGGGTATACCCTGAACATGTCGCCAGTTCAGGGTATACCCCGCAAGGGAAAAGATGCATAGTTTTCAAAATCTTTCAAATGTTGGTGAGCATTTTTTTTCACTTCCCAAAAATCTCATCAATCACCTAAAGTCTTTAGCAAAGAAAGAAGCAAAGGCGTGGTGGTGGTGGTGGTGGTGATGATGACGATGATGATGACGATGATGAGGATAGAGATTTTCATCTCAGGTGGGAGAATCTGTCAAGGGACCATTACTGATGTTCTCTTTAAACCTTTGTTTTAAACAGAAGCAAAAAAGAAAGTCTGATTTGCAGCTTGGCAACAATCATATGAAAACATATGGAGGGAATTTTGTTCCATTATTATTGCAGGCAAAGAACAGGTTTTGTTAAGAGAAATTTGAAAAACATTTTTTTTTTTTATTGTAAAGTGAAATTGGAAAAAAAATGCAATCCAGAAATAAAACTTTTAATCAACAAAATGTTTTTGGAGTAACTCTGTTGTTTTTTAATATTATTTTATTGTCTCGCATTTTTCTTTTTTTTAGATTGTTTCATGAATAGCATTCTTTAGAAATTGCGTTTTACTGATCACATTCTCTTCAGATCGCATTTCCATTGGTCTGCATGGACGTTAGCAACAACATTTTTATTGGGCTGAAATGTGATTTGTAAAACTCAGTTTAGGAAAAGAAGAAAAATGAAGAAAAGACTGAGTACAAAATATGTGTAAAAAAAAAAATTAATAATACAAAAAAGTATCAATAAAATATATGTAAACCTGTATAAAAGACTTGGATATTAAACATTAGTTAGAGAATCAAGAAAAGAGCTAATTAACATTTAAAACCCCTTTATTTTTTTGATAAAAAAAACTTTTTCAGAGCATTGGATTTTTCCCCCCAAATATCAGTTAAACAAATATTTGCTTGCAACAATAATGGAATAAAACTCACTCCATAAAGGGACGCAGCAATGTTATGACCAAAGCTGGAGTTTTGGAACTTGCAACCACAACGTAACAAAAGCATTTGAGTTTAAGTCAAACCTAAAACATTTTATTGTACACTGTCAGATTAAAGAGAGACACATAAAGAAATGTATAAATATGTGTTGTCCTGCTCATGTCTCCGCTAAGATTCACTAAGGTTTGCTCTTATAATGTTACAAATGTGAAAAGGTTCACGAGATTTGATTAACAACCCTGCAAAGTTCTGTAGAATAAAGCTCCGTCTCTAACATTTTAAGTTTGATTATCCTGGGCAAAAGCCCCCATCCTATTTTATCTCATATAATTGGGTTTCATGGTTTTCTCATAAAGTTGGTTTCTTTACTTCTTGCAGTTTTTTTTGTTGCACAGAAACTTCCTTCATAGCGTTATTAGCTGTCCTCTCCCTTATTCACCACAATTAAGCCCCCCCTTCAGGGCTCCTCGATGCTTCCTTTTTCTTCATTTCTTCCTGCCGTTAGTCTGCGTTCTGCTGCTCCATCCCCCTGCAGTAACAGGATTGCTGGTGGTGACTCGGCCTGTGTGCCAGCACACTGAATGAAGCTCAGCTGATTCCCATGGGGCTCTGAAAGGGGCTGAGAGACTCACACACACACTGAGCCCTTTCACTATATGATGCTGTTATAGAAATTCACGTGTATACCAGCAGCCAATGCTGCACAGTCGCATACATCCTTTCCTCATTCAGATGGCCGCGGCTCCTCCCTGTCTTCTCTACATCCATGGCGGGCTGTAATCCAGAGTCGGGGTGTCTGGCTCTGGCCGAGGCCACCCCAACCGGATCCGTGTCCAGGACACTGAGCTCACACAGCCACCAGACAGAGGCAGCATTATTCTGACAACGTGACTGAAGATGTGAAGGATGACTGCATTGAATGACATACAGCAGGCGCAGCGCTACATGAATAGCTTATAGAGGCGCATTTATGACAGATTTGGAGGCTTTACTTGTTAGTTTCTCTTGCTGCATCGTCACATACTTTTAATCTGGCCTGCAGAAGGTCATTGACACAGACAAGATGTTACATGACGGCTGGTAAACGGGGAGCTGGGAGGTCAGAGTGGAAATGTGTGATTTCCTCCAGCATTAACCAGATGTAAGCTGCGTGTAGCACAGTTTTACACCATCCACTCCGTTTGCTCGTTTAGTTCTGCTCTTTCTGGAAACTGCATCCTAAAGCTTGAGCAGACTGAAGATTTCCTCAAGTGCACATATTGATTTTTGTCCCGTATGTTTTGTCTGCTTCCGCCTTCCTCCTTGGAGGCACAATTTGCTGAATGCTGATTTTATTTAGTTCAATCTGTACAAGTTGGGCAAAAAACTTGAATGAAGCAAAGGAAAAACAGCTGAGGTCTAAGGCAGACAATTTGTGAACCAAACGTGGAAGACACTGAGGCAATCAGCAACCTATAAATAAGAGCCTTCTGTCTGCTGTCTGTCCGTCTGTCCTCCCAGATGGCCGGCCTGCAGGTGGGCAGGAAGATCTACACCATCAACGAAGACCTGCTGTTCCTCAGGCCCTTCTCAGAGGTGGAGGCCATGATCAACCAGGCCTTCTGCATACGACGCTCTCTGCGGCTGCTGGTCGCCACCAAAGCCAAGGAGTGAGCATGATTATTCACTCAGGCATACATCCACAGCAGACAGAAAGCACAAGCTGTTCTGACTCGACTTTTTTTCCCCCTCCTGTAGGATCGTAAAGATCCCCGACAACCCAGAGAGCCTCTCCTTCAGACTCTCTGGATCTGAGCCGCCACACGTCCACGCGGTGAGAAAAGGTGAGAGTCGAGCTTCAGGAGCCAAATCACTTCCAGATTTCACCTTTTCTTTTTTTTTTCTTTTTTTTTTTTTAGATATATAGACTTAGAAGTAAGTTACCCTTTGTAATATGATGGTACTCTCAAGGGAATAAAAACAAAGCAATGGGTAATTGTTTTTGATAAAAAGTCCTCAATTTTCACTGAACTCTGTTAAACAAAACAGAAACTGAGTTGTTGTTTTTTTAAATTTTTTTTTATTTTACCATAAATCGAAGAAGTGTGAATTGCATTTGTTGCACATTTGTTGAGTTAGTGCTTTGACCCCTTTCACTGCAGCAGCTTTCCACATCAGGAGACTTTTGGCCCATTTTCTTTGCCAGATAACTTAACCTCAGTCAGTTCAGATGGAGCAAGGCTGTAAAAAAATCTATTTTAAAGTCTGGCTGTATACTCCCGATTGGATTTCTTCTGAATTTTGTCCATAACCTTGTAACAAACAAATTGGCTAAAGCTTTTAACTGCTAACAGGTTTTAATAGAGGATTCTCCAGCATTTAAACAACCAGATCAATCCATCATGATGGATATTTCTCCTACATGGCATATATATGTAAATATATATACATTCTAAGATGTTTTGATGCAGCTTTTTTAAATCTAAGCCTTTGTTTAAAAAATAAAGATAATTTTTCTCTTTGGAGAAAAGTGCCATTAAATGTGCTATATGGGTTTTATGATGGTTAAAGGACAAATAAATCATAGTGAGCCTTAATGATCGTTGAGGTAACTGTAGCCTCCAACCACCTGTTACTCTCTGCTTTTAGCTTTAAGGCCGCCTGCCGAGCAGATGACTTTCTTAGTGTTTAAACTCCTACGGAGCGGCACCTTCAGCGCTTCATCTTTCATATAATCCACCCTGCATGCAAGTGTGCTTAGTGATCAGAGCTCAAGGTATAACAGCAGACAACAAAACGGCTTATCTTTCTAATCTGAACCCTCCTACTTTCTGCTTACAGCCTCCTAATTAGATGTTTGCCCTTCTTAGACTGACTGAAAGTGGAATAAAGATGGATTTACTGTACTGTTCACCATGATAGATGATGGCTTGATCTGTGTGAAGCAAACAGAGGCAAGAGGATAAAAATGTTGAAATGAGAATCACTGATTTGTGCAGCTAAGGAATGGGATATCTAAGTTGGCTTTACTTTATTATGACTTCTCTGCTTTCACTGCTCCCCCTCCCCATCCTCTCTCCTACTGTACTTTATTACTTCTAGCTCTCTGTTGGTGATTGAGCTGCAGTTTTTCCAATAAATCTATAAGGTAGATTAACTGTTTTTTTAATTTGCTTGTGGCGTAGCCCCAGAGTCAGGTAATTGCTGACGCCTGCAGTGGAAGTGATGTGATCGCTTGTATTTTTAGATCAGAGAGGAACGATGATGAAGGTGTTGATTGGACTTTCAGGCTGTGAAGCCATTTTTACTATCAGAGGTAATACCACTGAACTACGATGGAATATTAGGGCCAGGCTGGAGATTTTTTTTATTTTATTTTTTATTTTTTTTAATAAAGTCGTAACATAAGAATAAAGATGAAAATTATGAAATTAAAGTCATCATACCACAACCCGTTTCAGAAAGAAAGCTTGGAGCTTTATGACGGTCGACCAGCTCCAGCAAACAACAACCTGAGGCCATTTTGACATACAAGCGAATTAAATGCTGATGTGCTAAAAGATTTCCTTATTTGTCAAACCGATACCAAAGTATAACGTCACATGATGCTCCACATTCCTCATTTTAGTGAAGAAAGTGTTTCTTGTAAGAGTTGTAATAAAATACAACTTGTTTCTCGTAATATTTGGACTTAATTCTCATAATATTATGACTTTATTCTCGTAATGTTACGATTTTATTCGCATAACATTTAGACTTTTATCTCATAATATTGTGAATTTATTCTCGTAATATTAGGACTTAATTCTCAAAATATTACGACTTTATTCCCGTAATGTTACGACTTTTGTCTTGTACTGTTACTTTATTCTGGTACTTTTATGACTATTCTCATTGCAACTTTATTCAAAGTCGTAATATTATGAGAGTAAAGTCATAAAATTACGACTTTATTCTTGAAGTAAATAAAAAATCTCTAGCCTGACCCTAACACTCGTCGTACTGATCAGTCTAATACATTTTGTTCCAATAACTTGGATTGATTACAAGGAGTATTGAAAAACTAAGGAATAGTATTTGCTATTTAAACCCTTTAAATGTGTTAAATTGCATCACTTTACAACTAAAAGCTAATAATTGATAGGGATTTATCTGTCAAAATACTTTTTTTAATTGCAGAGTCTTTAAACAATACGTTGTAAAGTGGTGCTATACAGGGAAAGGGAACGGAATTGAATTGAATGAGACAGATTTTTGTAAAGTTCAGAGGAAAGGTTTTATCTTGGTATAAAGACCTGGAAAGTGCTTTTATTCACCCTTGTTTGCTTTTTAGCAATAAATAAAATCTGATGCAATTGTGTGCCTTCAGATGTCACCTGATGAAATTTGTTGATCTGGTGTAATTCAGTCCAAGTAGACCAACGGTTATGCAAACTATGAACATCTATCAGCTCTGATCCGTCTCACAGTTCAGGCCAGAGAATCTTTTAATAGTGTCTTAAATATTTTGACCTTTGTGGAAGAAAACTCATAGTCAAACTCAGCTCATAGTAAAGCACGGTAGTGGTCACGTCATGCTGTGGGAGGCCCTTACCTTTATTTTTCCTTTTTTTTTTCACTTCGCAAATATGAAAGACTTATTTTTGCCAATCCGTTAATCTTTTGATTGTTCTTTATCTGTTAAAAACCAAATAGATAAAAGTTCAAGGTAAAGCTGAAAGACTTGAGAAGCTTTTGAATTCAGCATGTTGATGGATAGAAATGTCTTTATACTTTTTACAGTAGCATAATTCATGCTGGGAATGTTGGGAAGTTGGATTATTACTGCATGTTGCTCTTTTTATAGCTACTAAATGAGTTGATCTTTATTTAAATAAAGGATAAATGAGGATGAATTCCTCCAGCCCTACATTCCACATTAAACACCATAAACACACACAGAAGTTTGAGGCACTTAACTTGTCAAAATGTGAAAAATTTTATTCTTTAAACCCTCCGACAGGCTGGGAGGCAGCTGCTGCAGGTCTCCAACCAGGCCAAGTTGTCCTGAAAGTCAACGGGAACAACGTGAACCGCAGTGATCACCAGGAGGTCCTGGAGCACTTCAGCGCTCAGCACTCTCACCAGGAGCCCCCTCAAGCAGTGAGAGCACACACCCAGATAATAACTCTGTTCTTTTAACAACCTAAGTTATTTTGGACAACCTGTGCCTTTTGGTTTGAGAAGATCTTTAAAATGTGTCACTTTTTCTATTTTTTTTAGACCTTTGGATTCTTAAAGGCTTTTTCTCTCTAATCCTAATAATCCTAATAATATAAATACCTATGAAGGCATTTACGTATACATGTTTGTTTTTATTGTTCTTATTGACACAGAAATTTCTGGAATCTTCCTTAAAACAGTGTTAGCCTAAGAGCAGGATCTGATTTGTTAGTGTGTTAAATTGTTATTAGATATAAATGAAAAGCGGGGTCAGGTCAAGCTGAAGATACAATCATGCCTGGATTGGAAAGACGGTGTAACAACCTGTCTTTTCCATAGACTTTCCATCCGTTCCTCTTCCGAGAATATTTGATTTAGATTCCTGTGTTCTGACTCATAATTAAACTCTTTTCTTATACTCCATACTGCATGGCCGCTGTCACACATGCAAGCTCTTCCTTGCTTGTTTTTGCATTCCTGTTGCAGCACTTGGTGTCTCCAGGCACTATTTCACAAGGCTGCAGACTGAGCTGATTGTCCTTCATATGGTGTTAAACAGTCTTTCTTCTAGTCTTTTTTTTTTTTTTCCATCTCTGTCTCTCCTAAAAATAAAAAATAAAAAAAATATCAGCCTGGTGAACAGGCTGATTATGGTCTAATTCTAATAAATATTTGCAAATATTTCTGCTTTCTTATCAAAATAAGATACGAACAATAAGTTTTGGCCATTAGTGTGAAATAATCCTCCCTAATTACCTTATAAGGCTTATTGATTAGGGTTTTTTTAAGGTCTTAATTCAGACCAATCCTTTTCTCCAAAACAGTTTTAATCTTAAAATCTGTTCTTCCTTCCTAGTGTCTCTGGGTTTATCGTGCTTTTGAGGATGTGGAGGAGCTACAAAGACCAAGCAGTGCAGGTGAGAAGGAGGAGAGCCCCTTTAGGCCTTACCCCGTGGAGAACGGCTCAAGCCACGAGGAGGGTAGCACCGCTAATGGAACAGGTGAAACATGATGCTGCAGACCGTGCAGTTATTAGTTTTACAACATGTAGCTGTTCTACTCTGAGCAGAATGCATTGTGCTTTGAAAGGATTGTACTATTTTAATAAATGGCAGATTTGGATCTTAGTAGCAGTCAGTAGAAAGCAGTTTCAATGAGCATATTTACATAATGTCGTGTTTTTCTAGAATCAGGGGATCTGTACTGTACCAATGACTGTAGTTTTTCTATCTCCAATATTGAAATATATAATTCTTTGATAAGCCTCTAAAAGAAAAGGAGACTAACCAGTGTAAAACTGATCTACAGACCACAGGCTCTGTAGACTTTCCCTCTCCAATGATCTGCCTCTGGTCAGCCTGACTGTTGATAATGTCCACCTGGAACATGGAGTGGTTTACGAGTACGTGAGCACTGCAGGGGTAAAGAGCCACGTCTTGGAGAAGATGGTGGAGCCCAAAGGCTGCTTCGCCCTGACTGCTAAGGTAGCTATGAGCCGCATAATTTGGTGTTATAACGTTTGTTGGTGAGTTAAAACTCTGAGCCGAATGTCACCTTCAGTCAGTTTCACCTTCTGAGCAACACGCCCAAAACTTTGTGATTTTCTATACTCAGAGGGTATACAAAAGGACATACATACAGCTTTCCGATGGTGAATGAGCAGCAGCTTAGCAGTGAAATCTGTTCTTCCCACTGATGGGTTTATGCTTTATATGGATGATATATTTTCATTGCAAAGCCTACATAACAAGTTGTTTAATACATTTGCAAAAATATTCAACCCTTATTACATTTTGTCTCTTTATAACATGCTGGTGAAGATTCTCAGTCATCCAGGTCATAGTCATTCCAAAGAAGTTAAAGACAATCCACTGGACTGTGTTTCCAAGTTGTTTCGCTTCCCATCCAGGAAGCTTTTTCAATTCAAATGTCAGAAATAGTGTTGAGTTGCTTTATACAACATGCAAATTGAAAAGGACAAACTGCTTCTTTAGTTAGCCTGCAATGCCCCATATCCAGTACTCAGGTTCTTCCTTCTTTCTGGGACGGCACCCTTCTTAAATAAATCTTAAAAAACACTCCGTACGATCCCGTGTGACATTTAATTACTGAATGTGTTAAATTTCTACTATATATTAACAGTAATGTCAATAGTATTGCCCTTTGAGCATTTGGCGGTCTGTGTGCTCATGAGTAGCCTGAGCAAACTATACTTTACAACTATGCTACTGCCCTTACCTGTCTGTGTCTTTATAACCACAGTTCATATCATAAAAAAAATGTATGTGTAAAATTTAGTGAGGGGGAAAAAGGTTTTCTTTTAAAAATTGGAAAAGTTTAATGTGTGATTAGTCTGTTCATGAGTTACAGCTAAATACACATTAATCTTTTATTTTATGAAACACAAATACCTATCCTTAACAGAATGTGAAACATCAAAGAGGAACAAATACTTTTGCATGAAACTGTATGTCTGTTGTGTTTGCCGTTGTTTAACCATCAAAGATATAAATGAAGCAAAATATCTGATTATTGTGTTTAGTGAAAAAGTAGGTTTTTTTTTTCTCCAGTAAAATCCATTCAGGTTTAGGGATTTTCCTTTTCCAAACAGACAACATTTCCTAGGCTATCCCTTCTTATCCTGCGGTTCTTTTTTTCTGCAGATCCTGGAGGCGTTTTCTGGTGACGACAGCCTCTTTGTACGTAACTGCAGCCAGCTCATCTCTCAGAGCGATCGAGTTGTTACCATGCCTCAGTACGAGTTCAGACAGATCTGTGACACAAAGCTGGAGAGCATCAGGCGGCGCATCAGCAGCTATCAGCAGGTACTTACTGTTGGTTTGGTTTTGCAAACATGTATAAATACTAAAAGGTCTCTGAACTTTTCAGAAATATGAAATAAATACACATTTGCCAACCTTTAAATGCAGTCCAGGCTGTAATGTGTTTGCATATCATCATCATCCATCACCCTGTTAGGACCAGAGCCGACAAAAGGCTCATAGAGTAGCTCAGGACTAAATAGATGAATATCTTTTCTCCTTTCTCGTGTTGTTTCTTCCCAGTTCGCCAAGGAGCTGAGAAATAAGGTGTGGCCCTCCTTCAGACAGGCTGGCGTTCGCCCTCACCCACTGGGCTGCATGGACTTTGTTCCTACCAACTGCCACGTGAACCTGATGCAGGTTTCCTACCCAAAAAGCACCACCTCCGCCGGCAGGACTTTCAGTATCCGCTTTGGTCGCAAGAACTCCCTTTATGGCATGGACCCAGACCAAGGTAGAGCCAATACACAGACACATCTTACTTCAAACAAAACAAACAGATTTTAACTGCAGTACAACCACTCATCCTTATTATGTCACTGATATCTACGATGATACAGTCCAACACTCAACTCAGTGGTCTTTTTTTTACCACTTACCGCTTGTGTCTATTTAATTCCTTGGTAATCTTGAAGCGAACATCAACTGCAGCTTCTCTCTGTAAAAATAAGACCCTCCCTCCCAAGTTTTCTTACAGCAAATTAGATGAGTGGTTCTCCATTAGTACTCCATTAGCCTCCTACTATTCTCAGATTGAAATGAAAGAATGATGTCAGTGAAGGAAGTGTCAGGTTCTCTCTGTGCTGGAGAAGCTTAAAATGAGAGGAAAGAGGAGGAAACTCAGCTGAAATGTAACCGTTGCAAAGAGGATCTTAGAAAACCTGCCTGTTTGGAAGCAAAACATCTGTCTTCAGCTGGCGACATAGATCAGCTCTGTCACGACGGCACTCTGTATTAATTAGGAGTTTTTAAAGTTTGACTGCTATGTCTGTTCATCAGCAAAGATGAAAATTCAACCCAGCTGTCTAGACAGCAGACTGTGCTTTTTTAGAGGATGGCTTTCTTCTTTTCTCCTTTAAGCTCCAGCTGCAAGGCAGATATCTGCCCAGCGGTCGTCACCCTCAGTTGATCTGCTTTCTGACGGTTGAAGCTGTCTGCAGTGAAAAGGAGGGAGAGTCCTTAGCTTTGCAGATGGAGATATGGGACTTTTCAAAAGCATCCATGCACTTTGAACTTTTCCACATTATTTTTAGGTTATAACCGCAAACTTAAATGTATTTTTGTTGGGGTTTAAGACCAAATGAGGTCAGAGTTGTCATCTGCAAGATTTTTTAAGCTTCTTTGTTTTCTGACATATTTTTACAAACAATGATACGTTTGATACCCTTTACTCTGATGCATTTAAACAAATTTTAGTGCAACTAATTGCCTGCAGAACTCACCCAACTAGTAAATAAAGTCCAGCTCTGTTTATAATCTCATTAGTGAATGAACTGCTCTCATCAATTATCATCAGCAAATGGAATGAGTATTGCATAAAAGCAAACCTACCCAGAAACAAAGGAGAGCTTCAAACAGAGACAGTGGTATGGTTTAGATAAACATGTTTTCTAAGTTAGAAAGCCGTGACCTAAGTCCAATAAAAACTCTAAGACAAAGTGAAAAAAACAGATATTTTTCATATATTTGGAAAGGAGATTTAGCTCTTTTACAAAGAACAATGGCTTGCTAATACTTTGTTTACGTAGCAGTAATGCATGGCCATAAAATCACCATAGAATTAATTAAGGTTTTATCCAGACATTTAAAAAAACATTTGTAAGAAATGTTAAGTCTTTTTCTTTTATTTATAAAAATAAGTAAAAAAAAAATGTCCTCATGAAGGACATATTTGTTGTTAGTTTCTTACATGTCTTTACTTTGCCTGCAGTTTTAGCCTGTCAGCTTGCAGCCCAGTTTGGCATTTAGCTCAAGTAAACACTTATGCATCCTGTTATTTTCCCAGTTGTGCTGTGTAAGTTGTTTTCCATTAGGAGGAAATAGACACCAGACAGCAGTGTCATTTCATACGTTTCCAACATCTGGCTTAGATGGGAATGCCAGAGATAGAAGCTGTTTTTCATTCTAAGACCACTATGGTTATGCTGATCCTCTCCTCTTTTCTCTCCTCCTCACCTGTCCCGCAGCACAACTGAACCCTATGTCACACACCCAGCATTGCGTGACCAGCATGGGCGCTCCTTCCTGGAGCTGCTCTGGGTTGGAAGGAGATGAGGCAGATGGCAGCAGGGAGGAGACCCTGGACGGAGGGGAGTGTGTGACGGACGGTCGGCAGGGGGTCCATGGAGAAGGTGGGCTGAGTTTCCTGCTCAAACAGGAAGACACAGAGACGCAGGACGCCTACATTTACCTCTACAGCCGCTTGGATGTTGCAGTGAGGGAAATGAAGCAGTATGTCGCTCAGATAGATGTGTAAGTATCAGAGTGAGAGGGTTGGTTTGGGCTTTTCACCTAGACGTCTCAGCACTACTGTTTTGGTCAAATGTTTGCATCTAACAGG